CATCTTCAACCATAAGTGAAGACCAGAGGTTGTAACTATGCCCAAACCTCGATGATATCCTCACTCTCTAGGCCCAGTTCTTCCACGGTACTTTTTCCGGTTAGTTTCTTCCCTTCAAAAATGAAGGAGACCTTGGCTTTCGTTGGGAGACCCATTGCTGCAGAGTATTGATCCATCAGGTATTGGAGAGGTTCACACTGCAGAATTAGACATAAATGAGTGACCATGCAACCACTAGAAGGCTCACAGGCTATGAGATATGCCAAGAGTTAAAGGAAGGTGGGAGAAACCACACAAAGAACAAAGCTTTGAAGTTAATAAGATTAACAGTTATGTAAAATTAAATGCAGCACTGTGTTTTAAACAGAGTGGGTTGGTGAGACATAGAATACAGTTAGTGCTTACTGGCCAAACACTATTGAATGCTAAAAAAAAAAAAATGTAATAAAAAAAAAAAAAGCTCTACAAGCAGGTATAATGCTGCCCTCTTGAGGTAGAGATGCAGAACTGTATAAGGCAGTTTTCACAACATTCTTCCAAGCACAGATTCTGCAAAAATGGGGGACACCACCACACTTGTGTTACACAGCATAGCATGATCATAGCTTCGTAATAAGCAAATTCAACCAAACCAGACGCCAGAGCTTAGATTTCATATGCAGAATTACTGGGGGAGGGAGTGGTAGACAACACCAAAATGTAAAATAATTGTTACAACAAGTCAGTGATGTGCTTGGTGACAGCTAAAATACAAAAGCATGGGGAGGTGCATCTATTCTCGAAAATCACTTTGGAATTCCTTGCTTTCATTGTTCATCTGTTTAGGTAAAATTAGAGATTTGAGACAGAGACCTCTATCCATATCCAAGTCTTTTCAGACTTGTAACAAATCCCTCATTTTCCAAAAATGGTGGTCAGTGGAATGAGATTAAAGAGATCAAATCATGCTAATGGGAATATACAGAGTTAATCTCTTTAATGAGAATTCAAATTTAAAGGTCAAAATGCTTTCAATTCAGCTAGTTGGGCCTTAAATCTAAAATTCACTTCGCAGTCATCAGGATTATTTACTAAACTGGAAATTTAATCTGCTTGACCTGTATAAATGGAGGATTTTTCTCGATTATGATTGTTATGGCTGGTTATTACCCTACAATAAATGCGGCTTCTGTTTTAGCAAGTGGATATAGTCTCATGGAGGGGGGAGAAGTATAAGTATGCATAAAACAGATCAGTAGTTTTCTAAAGATTGTTTTAATATAAACTACCCTCTGCCGCAACTAGTAATAGTTGAATCTACATTAACCCCCTTTCAAATTAAAGCAAAGCCCCAAAGTAAATGGATATGGCAACACAGATGTTTCAAAGACATTCGGTTGACAGAACAGAAGACCCAGATGGGGAGAAAGTGCTGACTGCTACGGAGAGGACCGAGGCAGATATTCCATACACAGAGTAAGCCAAATGCTCTCTTGAAGCAGTTGAAGAGCATGCACTTTGACATTTCAAGTGGGCTTAACAGAACACACCTCACTCCCAAAGTAGTTTAATTTAATCCCCGGTGCCAAAATTACCCACATGTTGAACTGTTTTCTCAGCACTGGAAAAGTGCCAAAATCAGTTGTGTTGCGATTTCAGCTATTTTTGCCTAACATTTTAAGTTCACTTCAAATTCTTGACAATTCACACTTTAGTGAATATCCCAGTTTGAATCAAGTAGCTGATCCCACATTGAGACGTGAAGAAAAAAAACTCAGAAAGCCATTCCAAAAAGCCCCTGCCTCCTGGACTACTGGGGTGTACCAAGACTCAGGGCCGCCATCCGGGCATGACAACCATAACAGTAACAACCGTACCTAGGCCCTGCTGACACCGGGTGGGCGCGCGCGCAAGGGCGCACTCTCCCTGGCTGAGTGCTTCCTCTTCAGCTCCCTCGCGCACCGCACTAATGCTGGAGCCAGAAGATGACGTCATCTTCCGGCGCTGGCATCAGTATGCGGCGCGCGAGGGAGCTGAAGAGGAAGCACTCAGCCAGGGAGAGTGCTCCCTCGCGCGCCCACCCGCAGGACCGGCCGCTGGGTGACACCACTGGACCCCAGGGAATCCCCTCAGCACTCCTACAGGTAGGTAGGCTGGGGATGAAAAAAAATAAATAAAAAAATAGTATGTGGAAGGAAATTTGGAGGGAGAGGGAGAGGGAGGTGGAGAAGACGAAAATTGGAGGGAGAGGGAGGGGGAGAAGACGGAAATTGACGGGAGAGGGAGGGGAGAAGACTTGAAATTGACGGGAGAGGGAGGGGGGATACTGAAATTGACGGAGAGGGAGGGGAGACTCAGGAAATTGACGGAGAGGGAGGGGAGACGGAAATTGACGGAGAGGGAGGGGGAGACGGAAATTGACGGGAGAGGAGGAGACCTGAAATTGACGGGAGAGGGAGGGGGGGAGACCTGAAATTGACGGAGAGGAGGGGGGAGACTTGAAAAATTGACGGGAGAGGAGGGGAGACGGAAATTGACGGAGAGGGAGGGGGGACGGAAATCTTCGACGGGAGAGGGAGGGGGAATTTGAAATTGACGGAGAGGGAGGGGGAGTCTTGAAATTGACGGGAGAGGAGAGGGGGGAGACCTGGAAATTGACGGAGAGGGAGGGGGGAGACGGAAATTGACGGAGAGGGAGGGGGGAGACGGAAATTGACGGAGAGGGAGGGGAGACCTGAAATTGACGGGAGAGGGAGGGGAGATCGAAAATTGACGGGAGAGGGAGGGGAGACTTTGAAATTGACGGAGAGGGAGGGGAGACGGAAATTGACGGAGGGGAGGGGAGACGGAAAATTGAGGGATGGGGAGGGGAGAAGACGGAAATTGACGGGGGAGCGGGGGAGACAAATTGACGCGTGAGGGAGCACTCTCCTTGGCTGAGTGCTTCCTTTTCAGCTCCCTCGCGCAACGCACTGATGCCGGAGCCAGAAGATAACGTCATCAGTATGTGGTGCGCGAGGGAGCTGAAGAGGAAGCACTCAGCCAGGGAGAGTGCTCCCTCGCGCGCCCACCCGCAGGACCGGCTGCCAGGTGACACCACTGGACCCCAGGGAATCCCCTCAGCACTCCTACAGGTAGGTAGGCTGGGGGGGGATGGAAAAAAAAAATAGTATGTGGAATGAAATTTGGAGAGGGGGGGAGAGGAAGGAAATGAGAGGGAGGGGGAGGGGGGAGACGGAAATTGGAGGGAGGGGGAGGGGGAAATTGGGGGAAGGGGGAGAATGAAATTGACATCCATCACACACACACACGATGCACCCCTTGCACACAGAAAAACACAATGCATTACATACAGACACATACACAAGCAATGCATCCCTTACAGACGCACACACTGCATCCCATACATACACAAACTCACCTTCCAGCCCTTACACATACAAACACAGATTCACACAATGCATTCCACACACACACACACACACACACACACACACACACACACTCCACCCCCTGTGAACAAATTCATTGGTGGAACATTAAGGTGGACCCTGGGACCCAGACCTTGAGCTGTGTAAAGGGCCCTCAAAAAAATGGAGCTGCTTCCCATTCTCCCAGAACATTGATTTTGTGACCACAGTTACAAACCGCCTCCAGAGAGCCTGTTCTACACCAGACCAGTGGAGCCAGACTGCAGCTAGAGCCCATCATCATCCTCATCTGGTTGTAAGTAGGCAATCTAGTATATTATTCGTGGCACTAAGCTCTAATTTACCTCACATTAAAGAAACATTATAGTCCCCAGAACCACTTCAGCTTAATGTAGTGGTTCTGGTGTCTATAGCCTGTCCCTGCAGGCCTTTTAATGTAAACACGGCGGCACTGCAGCACTGGCGTTAGTTAACATGGCAAATCATATGGGTGGAGCATTGTGATGTCACTTGGGGGGGCGGCAAACTTTACTTTTGCCTAGGGCGGCAAAAATCCTTGCACTGGCCCTGGCTGGAGGGGGCTGTGTGAGCTGTGGCCGCACAGTGTCCCATGATAGTTAGGGTGCCGTGCGGCCGCACGGAGGAAATGTGTATGTGTGACTGTCTGCCTGTAACTGAGTGTGACTGTCTGCCTGTAACTGAGTGTGTGACTGTCTGCCTGTAACTGAGTGTGTGGGGCTGCAGGGATTTTGTAGAAGGGGGCGGGGGGTTTGCATTGGAGGACAGGAGTCTTTATAAGGGGGGATAAGCAGGGGATTTGTGGAAGTGGGTTGCGGGGGTTTTGTAGACGGGGCAGTACAGGATTTGTAGAAGGGGCAGGACAGAGGTTTTGTAGGAGGGGCGGGGCAGGACAAGGGTTTTGTAGGAGGGGCTGACAGCGGTTTTGCAAAGTTTACAAATTGTAAAAAAAAAAAAGAAAGAAAACCTTTAAAAATTTTTACAGGGTTTTTTTTTTTTTTGGGTGGAGGGCGGAGGGAGGGGGGGTGCCAAGCACAGGATCCGCCCCGGGTGCCAAATGCTCTAGGTACGCCCCTGCAAAGTGTAATGTTCTCTTTTGCTGGCAAATTCTTTTTATATCAGGTTTAATTGTTGACAATTGTATTCGCATGTCTGCAGTTGCAGAGTAAAGCGAGAATCCAGTTTCACATAAGTATGTGCTGGCGAATGGCTACAGAACTTTGATTGACTGCTTGGACAATTTTGGGTATTCTTCGCGTAAACCACCCCAAAAAGGAATAAGAGAAACTTCTTTACATTTTTGGCTTAGTTGACTGTCAGAAGTTAAATTAATCAGATTCTCAAACGCTACATCAGAATTGGCTGGCTTGTCTTTTACGAATGGATTTCGAACCCACTCATTTATTGTTTTCATTCAAGAATATAAAATACGGTTTAATAGATGTGATTAAATGGCGAAGATGATCTACAATTTCATTGCGAATTTCATCTTCAAGTTCAATTTCTGATTCTTCAAAAAAATCCTTAAGTGTTGGCAAAGAGTTCAAATTATTTTGCTCAACAGATGAGGTCCAAAACTACAGCTTATGAGACAGTGAAAATATTGTATCTCTTGCATTAAAAATATTAGTGTTTTTTCCTTGGAGTGATAATGAATATGTCTGCAAGATATGCTACTTTGGATAACCACAGATTGTTTGTTAATCGATCAGATAATCCAAAGTTATGATCCTGCAAATATGCAAACAACTCTTGACACAATTCAAACATTCTAACAAGGACTTTACCTTGTGATAGCCAACGGACTTCTGAATGCAAAAGCAGAGCAGAGTGGTGACTACCCATATCGTCACATATAATTTTAAATAGTCGCGACTGTAATGGTGGACTTTTTATAAAATTTATAATCTGGACTGATTCGTCTAGCACAGTTTTCAGTGAGATAGAAATATTTTTAGCTACCAGTGCATGTCTGTGAAGAATACAATGAGAACTG